AGTTATTTGCTTTGTATGCATTTTACGATGGGACAATGCAAGCTCATGATCACTAATCTCTGAGCTAAAATGCATTTGCTGTCCCTCAGTCGCTCTCACAAACACACTCTTTCGCCCTCAACTGTTGACACTGTTTTAGTGATCAGGGAAACAGAAGAACACAGAGGAAACCTATTCAGATACAAGGATGGAGGAGGAGAATATGCAAACTCCACACAGAAAGACCCATGGATCGATTGCGGAGACCTTCAACAGTGCAACAGTTAAAAAACAATATGCACTGCTTGTCAAAAGTATTTCAGCTTAGAATGTTGGACATGGATTAATGAATAATGCAGAGAGCCCTGGCTTCTATACGCAGCTCAATCAGCTCAAGTCACAAAGCAGACTGCTTCCTGTCAATATGAGATAGAGGCCTATCTTCACCTGTCAGATACACAGGTCATTTAATAATATAGGATAGCATTGAGAGTGTTATGTCTGCTTCTCACTGCCGGTTGAATGATGTTGCAAATCCATATGTTTGTCTCGCTAAACAAAGAGCACAAAACCTTTTAAAAATCCTGGCTCCAGTTTAAGCCGAATCTAAGTAGCGCTGTTGCTAATGAGGAAGCGTACTGTCTGTGTAGTCCTATTTGCATCTCTATTTAGTGTCTCATCGTTCTGCTTCCTCTTCCTGTTCATTAGTTTCCATATTAGGTTGTTCAATAGGAAATAGAGTGATTAGGATGTGGCCTGAGTGTCCACAGTGGTGTTAGTGCACAGGATGACTTTGGTGTCTGCTCCTCTAAACTGTCTCTGTGGAACATTCAGCAGAGCATGGCTAATGGACCATGATGATAGTCACTTATCCTCCACAGACTAAAGAGTTATGTTTAAAATAACCATGGGGTCATCTGGAAAGTTTCCTGCTGAGGAAGCAAAGGACGGACGAAACTAAGGAGGAAAATCCATAGTGCCAGTCCACTGAAGTGCAGGAGAAATTCACTTCAAGATAAGATTTGTTGATCTTTTACTTACACTTATATGTATAAGTAAAGTCAGTATATGGGTACTTATACTGGTAATGTGATAATGGAGGAGCAGCATGAACCATAGTTATGAAGTTCTGTAGTAATGAAGTACGTCCTGCATTATGAACATGTCCTGATTATCATAACTTCATTCATTTATTTTGTAGCCAGAACTAAACATGGGGAGGCTGCTTTTCAGATTCATGCTGCTAAAATCTGTAACAGTCTTCCTGAAGATGTGAGACAGGCCTCCTCTCTGACAATGTTTAAAACCAGGTTAAAGACTGTTCTGTTTAGCTGTGCATACAACTGAGGGATTGTATATTTTTATCTTTCTTTTTAATGTTCTGTGATTATTTTTTTTATTTTGTTCAGCACTTTGAATTGCCTTGTGTATGAATTGTGCTATAAAAATAAACTTGCCTTGCCTTGCCATTCACTAACTTATATATTTCAGTATCTGAAAATTTTTGACAAGCTACTATTTTTGTTCAAAATGATTTACCATGCATAAAACATTAGAGCAACAGATGGGAAGCTTTCTGGAGGCAGTACGTCACCTGTTTGATTTTATGGAAATTAACCATTTTAAACTATGGGGATTTTACATGAGATAGTGCTAAAGTTACAGTATGTGGATTATTATAATCAAAGGAACAATACCCCCAATGAAAGAAGCAAGAGGACGCTTCAGTCAGGTTCTCTCACTGTATATTTTGTAAGGAAAAATGTTTTTCGTTTGGACAAACATTTTGAGGAAAAAAAGGACTTAAAAATATGTTGTTGGGTTAAAAATCCCCCAATGAAGGTTTGAATATTTCTTTTCTCCAAGTTTCCACTTGATCACAGTAAAATCTGTGGTTAAAAAACTAAAGGCAAGCTGTGAAATACTCGCACACACGCACACGCACGAACGCACACACACACACACACACACACACACACACACACAGAGTAGAGACAAGCTAAATGATGCAATATAATCTCCAATCTATCTGAATTTATCTGAAATGAATAAAATATGCATATATTGCAAAGTCAAGAAATATTATGGGTTTATCTTGAGCATGCACACAATTCCAAACTAAAGTCTGTGCTTCAACAGTTTTATGGTCACATTTGTCCAGTTTTCAAGTCTCTGTACTGGGTTCCTGACATGGAGAATACAAATCTCTCCATGACATGTTCGTGCTATATGAACCAAAAAATGAGAGACAGGCTTCTACTCCGACCATGTTCAAATCCAGGTTGAAAAAAGCTCTGTTAGCCGTGCCTACAACTTAAATCCTACAGTGCCTTGCGAAAGTATTCGGCCCCCTTGAACCTTTCAACTTTTTGCCACATTTAGGGCTTCAAACATAAAGATATAAAATTTTAATTTTTTGTCATGAATCAACAACAAGGGGGACACAATCGTGAAGTGGAACAACATTTATTGGATAATTTAAACTTTTTTAACAAACAAAAAACTGAAAAGTGGGGCGTGCAATATTATTCGGCCCCTTTACTTTCAGTGCAGCAAACTCACTCCAGAAGTTCAGTGAGGATCTTTGAATGATCCAATGTTGTCCTAAATGACTGATGATGATAAATAGAATGCACCTGTGTGTAATCAAGTCTCCGTATAAATGCACCTGCTCTTTGATAGTCTCAGGGTTCTGTTTAAAGCGCAGAGAGAACCATGAAGACAAAGGAACACACCAGGCAGGTCCGAGATACTGTTGTGGAGAAGTTTAAAGCCGGATTTGGATACAAAAAGATTTCCCAAGCTTTAAACATCTCAAGGAGCACTGTGAAAGCAATTATATTGAAATGGAAGGAGTATCAGACCACTGCAAATCAACCAAGACCCGGCCGTCCCTCCAAACTTTCATCTCAAACAAGGAGAAGACTGATCAGAGATGCAGTCAAGAGGCCCATGATCACTCTGGATGAACTGCAGATAACTACAGCTGAGGTGGCAGAGTCTGTCCATAGGACAACAATCAGTCGTGCACTGCACAAATCTGGCCTTTATGGAAGAGTGGCAAGAAGAAAGCCATTTCTCAAAGATATCCATAAAAAGTCTTGTTTAAAGTTTTCCACAAGCCACCTGGGAGACACACCAAACATGTGGAAGAAGGTGCTCTGGTCAGATGAAACCAAAAACGAACTTTTTGGCCACAATGCAAAACGATATGTTTGGCGTAAAAGCAACACAGCTCATCACCTTGAACACACAGTCCCCACTGTCAAACATGGTGGTGGCACCATCATGGTTTGGGCCTGCTTTTCTTCAGCAGGGACAGGGAAGATGGCTAAAATTGATGGGAAGATGGATGGAGTCAAATACAGGACCATTCTGGAAGAAAACCTGTTGGAGTCTGCAAAAGACTTGAAACTAGGACGGAGATTTATCTTCCAACAGGAAAATGATCCAAAACATAAAGCCAAATCTCCAATGGAATGGTTCACAAATAGACGTATCCAGGTGTTAGAATGGCCAAGTCAAAGTCCAGACCTGAATTCAATCGAGAATCTGTGGAAAGAGCTGAACACTGCTGTTCACAAACGCTCTCCATCCAACCTCACTGAGCTCGAGCTGTTTTGCAAGGAAGAATGGGAAAGAATTCCAGTCTCTCGACTTGCAGCTGTAATTGCAGCAAAAGGTGGCGCTACAAAGTATTAGCGCAAGGGGGCCGAATAATATTGCACGCCCCACTTTTCAGTTTTTTATTTGTTAAAAAAGTTTAAATTATCCAATACATTTCGTTCCACTTCAGGATTGTGTCCCACTTGTTGATGATCCTTGACAAAAACATTTTTTTATATCTTTATGTTTGAAGCCTGAAATGTGGCGAAATGTTGAAAGGTTCAAGGGGGCCGAATACTTTCGCAACACTTTATTCTTTTCAACCTCCAAGATTTCTGTCCTTGCCGATCTAGAATCTCTTGGTACATTATCCATTTGACACTACTCAGTCCAACATACAAAGAACTCCAAATCAATAGACCTGAGGAGTGGTGGGATGACCTTTATCTTTTGTGGCTGATGATTTGGCTTTGTGAATAATTCAACAGCAGAAATCTATGGTGTGTGCTGTTGTGCAACGAGGATGGGAATAACAGCTTTTTCTTATCACTCTTAATCTAGACTCTGCAGTAATGCAATTCCTAACATTTAGCACTTAACGGGATGTCAGAGCAGCAACATGATCTAAAACCATTAGGCCAGGCTTGTGTGGAGGTTCCAAACAGGATTCTCCTTATCTCTGTCACTCAGCTAACAGAGGAAGTAAAAACCAAGGTGTGAGTGCCATCTGGACTTCAAGGCCATTCTTCTTCATCTCATGCAGGGTTACTGTGGTCCTCCTAGCCCTTAACTAAATGTTTAACTTGTTTAAACTAAATATTATTACTATTATTATTATTGCTTTCCCTACATGTGTGAGAGTATGGCCTTAAAATCAATATATTCTTATTAAAAAATGAGCATGTTTTCCTTCGTACAGCCTTGTAACTTGACACGGTATCCATTTCATATCTATGGAACATTACAAACAGTAATGTGGATTATTTTAGACCAACCAGGTTGCTTTTACATGCACTTCTTGAACCCCTTTGATTTTCAATTAGCTGAGATAACTCAACTAAATTAAAGTTTGTGAACAAAAGAATTATGGTTGGAGAGAAAAGAGGAAAGCTTCTCATAGGCAAGACAAGTTTATTTGTATAGCACAGCTACTACAGAAGGTAACTCAAAACAAGGTATTGTGGTGCATAAGGAGCAGAGGCGGTGTGTCAAACAGCGGTGACAAACGTACACGTTTTAATGCCATAAAACAGCCAGTGTTAACAAAACTCCTTACCCAACCAAACAACTTTTCTAACAGGGGAGAAACTGTGCACCGGTATATCTCGTCCCCTCGGAACACCACCAGGGTAACAACAGTTCCATGGGTGAATTATGTAAACCACCACACAAGCCCCCCCAGAATTCAACCATAGTCAAAATCCCCACTCCGGAAAGGAATGATGGCCCGACCGCTCCGAGTACAAGTGGCAGGGGCTGAGGGGAGGGAAGCCGGGGACGCAGCCGACACCGTCCCGGTTGAAGGAACTCCAGACTGACCAGGGGGACAAAGTACTGGGGGGCGTCCAACTCGTGGGGCCTGGGCCAACACCAACGGTCTGGAAATGTCTACATGAGCAGGCTTGATCCTATCAACGGAAATAGTTTCAGGCCTACCCTCGATGACCACGACCAGGCTCTTGTCCCCATGCTGCAAAACCTTAAACGACCCATCGTAGGAGACGCAGCGGTCCACGATGGCCATCGTGGCGGACGAAAACAAACTACCCCGTGGTCACCTCCTGCAGAGAGGACAACTGTTCGGTTGCAGACCAAGGTCTCGTAGCATCCGGTATAAAATACTCGGGCACCCGCAAAGCCTGGCCGTAAACAATCTCGACAGATCCTCCTTGGGGGCGGTCCTAAGGCCGAGCATGACCCAGGGCAGTTTGTCCACCCAGTTGCCGTCTGTCAGGCTGGCACGAAGGGCAGCCTTCATAGAGAGGTGGAACCGTTCACACAGTCCGTTAGCCTGGGGGTGGTATGCGGTGGTGCGGTGCAACTTGACACCCAAACACCCGCAACCACATTCCAGATCTCGGAGGTAAACTGCGCACCCCGGTCAGAGGAGAGATCCGACGGCGTACCGAAGCGCGAAACCCAGATTCAGATTCAGATTCATTTATTTCGCCATTTGCAGTAACACTACATTGGAATACATTTGTAAAAGTTCCCAGTGTGCACAGGACAAGTACAGACACAAAACAACATTAAAAGACAAAAATAAAACAAATTTTAAAAACAGTAAACAAATGTTTACTGTTCAAATGTTTGGCGTTCATTGGCACCCACGTGCCAATGAACGCTCGAGCCACATCGGCAGACGTGGTAGAGGCGAGGGGAACAGCCTCAGGCCAGCGCGTCGTCCTGTCCAGGTCGACGTTAACGTGGTCAAACCTCCTCTCCGGAACAACAAAAGGTTCCAACGGGGCCTTGGTATGGCTATGTACCTTAGCGCGCTGACAGGCCACACAAGAATCAACCCAGGCCTGCACATTCTTCTTGAGTCCTCTCCAGACGAACTTCTGAGATACAAGCGTCACAGATGCCTTTCTGCCAGGATGGGACAGGCCGTGTATAGTCTCAAAAACAGACCGCTGCCAGCTGGCAGGGACCAGAGGCCTGGGCTGGCCGGTAGAGAGGTCACACCACAACCTGACCCCAGAGTCGCCGACCGCAACCTTTCCCAGCTGCAGTCCAGTGTCCGAGTCCTTGAGGGACTGAAGGGTGCGGTCTGCACCCATACGCGCGTAGTCTAGACCGAGCTGGACCGTACCTACGACCGCCCTGGAAAGACAATCCGCAACCACATAGGATTTGCCGGCAATGTGTCGTATGTCCGTGGTATACTTTGAGATGAACGCCAGTTGGCGCTGCTGGTGGGCGGACCACGGCTCGGCCACCTTAGACATGGAGAACGTAAGGGGCTCACAGCCCTCCAGGACAAAGTGGAAGTGGCGGATTGCCAACCAAACAGCGAGCAGCTCCCTGTCAAAGGTGCTGTATTTACGCTCCCTGGGGACAAGCTGGCGGCTGAAAAAGGCAAGCGGTTGCCAGGCACCCTCGACCCACTGTTCGAACACAGCGCCCCCGGCGTAGTCCGACGTGTCAGTAGTGAGGGCAACTGGGGCCCCAGGAGACGGGTGGACCAACATAGCGGCCTGGCACAACGCAACGTTTGTGTCCTCGAATGCCCTGTCTGCCTCCACGGTCCAGACAACGTGCTGGTTGGGGGTCGTACCCTTAAGGGCCTCGTAGAGCGGGCGCATGACCCGATGGTAGAATGTAACCATACCGAGGAACTCACGGAGCCCACGGGTGGGGAAAAGTGGAAACGGCTTCCACCTTCGAAGGGAGGGGGGCAGCCCCTTCACTGCTGATGAGATGCCCGAGGACCTTGATGGACGGCACCCCAAAAACACACTTAGCCGGGTTAATGATCAGCCCGTGCTGGTCGAGCCGCGTAAAAAGAACTCGGAGATGCGTCAGGTTCTCCTCCTCCGGGGAGCTGGCAATGAGGACATAGTCCAAGTAGACGAAGATGAAAGGCATGTCCCTAAGTTCCGAGTCCATCAGCCGCTTGAACGACTGGGCCGCGTTCTTCAGGCCAAAAGGCATCCTGAGAAACTCGAACAGCCCGAAAGGAGTCACCACCGCCGTCTTCGGGATGTCAGCAGGTTGCACCGGACATTGGTGGTAACCCTGCACTAGATCCACTTTAGAAAACCAGCACTTCCCCGCCAAATGTACGGAAAAGTCTTGAATGTGGGGCACCGGGTAACGTTCGGGTGTGGTCGCATCATTAAGATGGCGGTAGTCACCACACGGGCGCCACCCACCGTCTGGCTTTGGAACCATGTGGAGTGGCGAGGCCCACGGGCTGTCAGAACAGCGAACAGTGCACACAAGTTCAGCTTGTGTGCACTGCAAGCTGAACTGTTTTGAGAATTAACATTATCAGAATAAAATCTTCTCTCACAGTAAGACTGTTCCAGATTTTAGCTGCATGAATCAGAAATTCTGCCTATCCATGTTTAGTCCTGACTCTGGGCACCAGCGGGAGGCCAGAGTTGGTTCATATGGGGCTAACATGTCACAGATTCAGAGACTTGTACCCAAACAGAGCTGGGCAAAAGGACGTCAGTGCAGAGACCTGAAAACTGGACTAATGTGATCCTATAACTGTTAAAACAGCGTTGCTTAGAGCAATACATACGACAAATGTGAACTATATTTACAAACATCTGCCATCTGTAAAGGCTCTAACCAGACTCTTCACAGTGACAGGCCACGCAGTGGAAATATCCTTGTTAGGACGTCCCCAGGCTTCTCAGCAGCCAGCCCTCGCCAGAGAGCTGCTAACTCCAGACGTGCCAAGGCAAGCACTGAACTGAGGCTGGCTCCGTCACTCACCACCGATCCTCATCTTAAACATTCATTTATTTCACAGTTGTGCTTCTCAAGGAATCAAACAAGAAACACTCCACAATGTCTTCCTTGCAGTTAAAAAAGAAAACCTGAAATGATATAGTCCATGTATTTCAAGTACACAGGTTTTATTCCTATCAAAGTGTAAATTTGCATACTAGAGCAGATATACATGATGTTATAATAGCCTGTCCTTTTGTAAAGCGTTTCCAAAAAGGGCTATATACTATAAGTACAATGTATTCTTCTTCTTCTTCTTCTAATTATTATTATTACTAGAGTGTTTTTCTAATTGTTGTCAAAAGTACCCTGGCTACGTTTCTCACTGTTCATTAAACTCTGAAAAGCAGTGAATTATATCTTGCAATGTATCTCTTAATCTAAATAAATGCAAACACATCTGAAAGTCTCACACACTGTAACAGAATTATCCAAACTTCACCTGATCAGCAGAAACATTGACTGTAAACACTTGATAATATATGTTCCACTCACAGCACGCTCCCCTGTGTCTGACAAGGAGAGCTGGGTGCTAAAACCCCACAGTATTGGTCACTGGAGGCCTTGTCACCCTATAAAACAAGCAAGTTGCTAATGACTTTTTCAAGAACTAATTTTCTGCTTTGTAGCGCAGCCCATAAAACAAGGTTATTCTCCTCCACCAGGGGAAGAATAGAGGCTTAACTGTCCTCCCTGTTTATTGTCCTGCCGCAACATTTGGACCATGTGTTTGCTGAAAATTGAGTTTGCGGGTTGAATTTGAATCCCATATTTTTTTTTTTTGTCTGTGTTAATCTGATACATGCATATATGTTGCATAATGTATAGGTGGAGGCCATCTTAAACTGTGTTTGTCAGTCTCTGTGAGGTGAGGGGGGGTTGATAAGATTACATAAGATAAGATAATATTTTTCAGGGAGATACAGTGCGACACAGATCTGCATGAACGAATAAAAATAAAGATACAAAGGAAAATTACAGGTAAAAACACAGACAGAAATGCAGCAGTGCTTTGAAGTCTCTGTTTGGTCCAATTCCGCATCAAAATACATAATAGGTCCTGGATGAAAAAAAATAAATAAAACATTTGTATGTGTGTTCAACCAACCCCTTTTCAAAACTGTCTGCTGTTCTGTGTCCTTTTAAAATGTGTTCTACAGGTATTGAAACAAATATTGTTGATTGATTGATTGGTAAAATAATAGCAACAGGATTTTACCATAAGAGATATGAATTGCAAAAGCGCATAATAAAACCCATAAAGTCTAAATGGACAACCACAACCACAAAAAAACAGGTGGCCTTACTATTTTATAATGTATTTTTTTCATTTTTTATTTACATCCAGTAATTGAAAACACATCATGAGCTTTTCAGAACTATAGTTCATGGTGCATTGTGGGTGTTTTGTGAGAACACATCCACTCATTATGTCGAAGTGTCAAACCGAAATTACCCTTTTATAATGTTATCACAGTAAAGTCTCCATAATCTTTTGAACTGAAAGTCAGCCTCGCGCTTGTTGGAGTCTCATGATGGGTACAGCGTGTAACAGCACTTTTGTGCAATTGGATGTCAGGCCTTCTCCATTGATTTTTGAAGAAGAAAAATAAAGTTTGTAAATATTGGAAAAATCAACACATTAACTTAAAGATGATGTCTGTAAAACTTCAACTGCAAAAACTGGTCAAATCTATATAAAAGGTATGTAGGAGGATTTTTTACTTCCGGGTGGATCATCAAGACTATTGGTCCTCCCAGTTGTCAATCAGTCCGGTGATACATGCTCGTCAAATAAGACCAGAGAGTATTATTCATAAAGTGGAGAGGGTCAGTTCTTTCCTAAAATTTGGAAAAATACTCAAATATTTTTCACATTCATTCTCTGGATGAGAATGTTGTTAATCCAATGGTTAGGGGCCTCAGCTATCTATCAAGGATTTGAACAAATTGTGTCCAATCAGGTGACTGTGGGGGCGGGTCTAAGCGATTCTTGCATTCAGAAAAATGTCTCTCAGTTTTAAAAGTAACTGACCTTTACCATTTAATCTTCACTCCTTGAAGAAAGCCGTGTAGTTTGTTTCTTATTGTGATTTTTTTTCTTATTGTGAGATGTAGGAGCACTAATAGCAATAATAATGCATTTTCATTTAATGTGTTTTTTTCTTTTAATCCCCCAGTTTTTTAAAAAAATATTATTATTATAGGTTTCGAACAAAATGAAATGCAGCTTAATTATAAAAGTGCAAAACCAAGTGAAAGAGATGCCCCAATGAGGTAGATTTCAGTTCCAAGCTTCAAGTAGATCTCGTGACTCAAAACATTCTCCATCCATGGTTGAGGAAAACATTAAAGGGTAATTATATTTCTTAACACAATAGGCTCAAATTTTTTTACAAACACTGATGAGATCGAACTCGTGCACATTCGTTCTGATTGCATCTGGAAGAAAGATCACAGTGGAAATGTAGAAGCTTTCACTCAAACTATTGCCTTACTGATGAATGACTGCAGTTTTATGACTTCATTATGAGTCCACAGGAAATACAGTCCATCCCTGTAATGAGCATGGTGGCTGTCGATAAAAAGCCTGATAAACACAGACTTCCTGAGTGGGCATGTATAAATGCAGGCAGAGTAATGAGGTTGCTGGACATGACAGTTCTGCTCTCCATCATATGCTGCTCTGTGGCTCAGGGCTGCACCAGGGAGGCCTTCCATCTTCAGCTAGAGAGTCTTCACAGCTGGCAAACAGACAGGATTTGTGATTGGAGAAACAAAGACACTTATGAAAAAGAATTGTCGGATTTGCCTTTTATAAAAATGACATCAGGTCTTCCACTTTTTTCCTTTTGAGCAGCTTTGTCCTTCTCTCTCCATGCATAGTACATGCTCATACACGGGTCCCTGAAGCCAGATTTAAAAAGTACAGCTATGTTTAATCTGTGTGCTACTTGTGTGGTCTTTACTGTCTTGTAATGTGAAATTCAACACATTAAACTAAACTGAAATAAGCACTTACTTTTCATTACTGACTTTAAACTTTGCAGCAACGTCCCCACTGTGAGGCGAATACAGATTACTATATTAAATATATTGTTTGATAGATATTATCGTATTTCTTCGTCAGGCAAACAGGAGTTCGAAGAGGCAATAAAAAGTGACCCGGAACATAAAACATAACAGTGGGAAAAAGTCCAAGAACCAGCAGCTACGTTCATGCTTGTATATGTTGCTTGCACTTTTAGGCGTCTTCACTCACCTGTGGATAAAAGCCTTTTCTTTTTACATTGCTTGTCTAGCTGTAGTGGTTCTATTGGCAGCCCCTCCATGCACTTCTGCTTCACGGCTATCTCTGTTTGTTATGTTAGCATTGCAAGTTATATTCATATTAATAAGTGAGGGATCATCAGTACTGTTAGCATAATAGCAAAAAACTATAGTATTAATTAAGTAATTATATGGTCATATTTTGTTAATTGCTTTGTGCAGACAAGACGTGTTGATGTAGTGTTGTGGTGTGCTTTTGTGTCCTCAATACTGAATCAAAGACTGGTCAAACAATCAAGAAAACACTCTTCGCTGTTTGCCTCTGACAATCATACTATACATTTTCGGAATTGCACAGCCTCATTCCCCCACGTTTGAAACCAGCGTGATTTTTGCGTTCCCTGCAGCCTGCACTGTCCTGTCTGAGTCCGGAGCAGCGTTAACATTGGTATTAAGTGAACAGAGGGGTATATCGTATGAACAGGCTTTGATTGTGTGTGATATCATTGAGTCAAAAGCTTTCTGATTAGAGAGCCTTTGACTAAGCAACACATGATTATGATCTCTGCATAATGGGTTGAATAAGTGTAATAGTAGCATGCTTACTTGGAGGAGCTCCCTTTTAGAGCCCAGTGTGACTTTTGTGTTTAAACTTGTATCTCTTCACTAGCAACACTTTGTGCATTTTAAGATATAAAGTATATTTTGCATGTCCTCGTTGTATCTTTGTAGGTTTTCTCCAGGTCCTCCATGTGCTTTCCCTTACCTCTCATGCTGGTCTGATTGGAGAGACAGTGACAGTGTACGATCCAGGACGAGTGATGTTGAATGTATGATGACAAAACACAGAGCTTCACTTGCCATGAAGCTACTTTGTATTAAAAAGATATGATACAAAGTGAACATTTCTGAAGCTGATATGGAAAAGATTTCAGATTTTTTGTGTGCAAATACGTTAAATGGCCATACTTGCATGCGAAAGCCAGATCCCATCAGAAGTCTGAATCAGTGTAGGGCAGGGCCTGGTTAGTGCTGTGATGGGAGACCTCTGGAAACAACAGGTGTCACAGTGGGGCGGAGGCGGCTGTAAAGTGCCAAACTGCCGTTGTGTCCTTAGGCAAGACACTTCACCCCCATTGCCTAGAATGAGTCTGGTGTGTGTGTGAATGGCTGGTGGTGGTCAGAGGGGTCGATGACACATATTGGTTGCCTCGCTGCTTTATCAAACTCATCAAAAAGCGACATGATAGATGCTGAGGGAAAATTCTGTTTATGTAACTATGTAAACTATAGGTAAACTATAGAAACGCTGTAAAACCTGCTTATGCTAAGTACCAACAATAAAACATGTCCATGTCTTCTGCTGACACTGGTTTCAATGTACACGATGACGCAAACACACTTTGAGTGATAAATCTACTCTAAAAAACTGAACATAGAGAATGAAGACCAAACTGTGTACGTTCAGCATTAATAAAAATGTGGCTTTATAATCCTGTTAATGTATGTATCCTGTAGAATCACTTATAAACATAGATACTTTATTAATAGATTAATATTAACATTAATGCTGTCATTAATTACTTAAAAGCCAAGAAGCAGTTTTGTGTCTGTTGCATAATAACATGTCTCTTCTGCTCCCCTTTCTCTGGTGCTCCCTCATGTGAGAGAGATCCAACTGCTCTGCTGACCACAGCCGTCAGAACTTACCCTTCCTTCAGATTTTAATACGGCAGTTCATCTTCCTTCGTTCCTCTCCTCCGAGGGTCAGCTAAGGATATCTCCCATGCATTTGTACTAATTACCACGTGCCTTGTATGATAATTGATTTTCGTTTAAAAGGCTAGATCTTCCTAATCCTTCTGATTTTAATTAAAGCTTACAGCGTGCTGATAGAAATGGTATTGCAGAGGTGCTATGAGCTGTTCACAGCCTTATACAGGTACAGAAAGTGCTCATATAACATTTAAATAAAAAGGTCTATTTCCAGGCACCACGACGCAGCCTGCTGTTTATCATTTGCAACTTTCAAATCAGCGACACACCAAACCTGCCAACGCCTTAAAGTAACAAAGTTTGGAAGAGCTTGACATTTAGCCAGAGAGTTTGTGCAAAAAGTATACCATTATACTTTAGAAGAGGCATGTCAAATTCAGGCCTGTGGGCCAAATCCGGCCTTAAAGACAATTTTTAAAGGCCCCTGCAATGGTTTTCAACTATCATTATTACAGAAACTTGCAGCATTGATGGTAGTTGGATACTATGGTCTTATGCTTATCTGGCGTTGTACTCTGGAAAACAACTGTATAATTTAATCTGTTCTGAAATGTTAACTAACATGTAATAAGAAGTGCAGTGAAGGACAAGCCTTTTATTTTTCCAATACATGGCCCAGTTGTAATTCAATCTAAACCTACGACAAACTAAAGTCCAAACTCATATTTACTCACTTATAAACTTTTGGCCCCGACCAGATTTTAGACCAACATAAGTTTGACAGCCTTGCTATAGAGTGCACCATGAATAGACTAACTATTCATGATGTAAGGTGTCATTATCTTATGAAGCTTGAACGAACAATCAAAGCTTCAGGCCTGTGTGTTCACCAGCAACTACAGTGTTTATAAAAAGTGGGTGGCCTTAAAAGGTAGTCTAAAATAGGTTTTAGTATGGACACAGATGGGGAGGTGAAAATCACTCCAAACAGGCTTTTCCCCTGGGAATAAAGTATTGCACAGTGACAAGCAAAGTTGGTTTGGACATGTTTGCTCCTATGTGCTTTTGCAGCGGTCACAACAGCACTATTCAGGATCAACTGAGAATGTGTCCAATTAGGGATTAAGAGCAAACATATTTACTCATGCGATACTATCACCAGCAGGATTACTGCACCTTAACATGGATGAAATACAGCACATTCAGAAACTATTCACCCGCCTTCTCTTTTTCTATAATGTCACAGCCTTATTCTAATACTTTTTTTTTGGCAATCTACTTGTAATACCATTTAATGTACATATAAGTAATACACTTTTTAGACAATTTTAATGAAAAAAATCTGTACTGAAAGGTCACAGCCTTGAATATGACCCTCCATGAGCTCTGATGCACTGATTGTTATTGAGAGTTTCTGCAACTTGACTGAAGCAAACATGTGGTATTCTACTGTTTTAACTTCATTTGGAAAAGGACATAGCTGTATATTAAAGGTTTAATCACTGACAGGGATTATTCAGAGCAAAAATTGGGCCTTGAGGTCTGAGGAACTGCCTGTAAACCTTCAAGATAAAACCATATCAAAGTACAGATCTGGGGAAGAAAATGGGAGAACCCTCTGGAAGGACATCCATCAGAGCAGCACTTCACCAATCAAGTCTTTATGGGAGAGTGGCTTAACAGTTATCGTCTGCTAAGAGTGGCTTCGGGACAAGTCCGTGAATGTCCTTGAGTGGCCCAGCCAGAGTCCAGACTCAAACCAAATTAAATAAGTCTGGATAGACCTGAAAATATCAGTGCAGCGATGTGCTCCGTAACTCTGTGAATACTATGTGGGCATGTTTCTATATTATAGTTTAAATCAAATGGGGAAAAATAGGTTTTTACTCTGTCATGACAGGGTATAGTACAAGTAGACTTATGAGAATTATTGAAAATGTCATCAAATTTGGAATGAGGCAAGGCAAGGCAAGTTTATTTGTATAGCACAATTCATACACAAGGCAACTCAAAGTGCTGAACAAGATAGCATTAAAATTATAAATAATCACAGAACATTAAAAAGAAAGATAAAAATATAAAATCCCTCAGTTGTATGCACAGCTAAACAGAACTGTTTTTAACCTGGTTTTAAACATTGTCAGAGAGGAGGCCTGTCTCACATCTTCAGGAAGATTGTTCCAGATTTTAGCTCCATGAATCTGAAAAGCAGCCTCCCCATGTTTAGTTCTGAATGAGGCTTTAACATTACAAAATGTAGTAAAAATGAAGGGAGTAGAATACCTCCTGAATGCACTGGAGATACAAAGTTTGCAACACACAATGGTTGCATCACAGATATTGTGTCGGAAGTTCATAATTTGCACTGTTCATAATTTAAAAAGTTGAACTTTACTTTTTTATGATATAATATCACATAAATGAATATGAATGAAGTCAGTCCTATAACCAATCGATCTTCTTTGGGACAGCATTAAAGATTGTCCTCACATACTCTTAGATAATTGAAGATAATTGTGGTTGTCAAAACAGTGGCTCAGCACTGCTTCAGTGAAAGTGCTGAGTGATGCCCATTTGTGGCTGACCTGTCACATGACTGCTCTCCTCTTTCTGACACTCAGAAGAATGGGGAAAGGGTTCAGCAGACACAGCCCCAGATAGCCCCCATCCAACAGCTGACAGCCAGTGTGTGCTGGATCAGTGCAGTGTGTGGGGAATGGGATGGTCACTGCACCTTTTCACATGCTCATTGAAAACATAACTGAAACCATTTTTTGGAGAAGTATGGCAAAAAGTGCTCTATTTTTACTAATTCAAGATACGCCACAAAATGTGTTCTTTTATTTTACTTTTAAATAATCAGTGCAAACAGATCAAGATGTATTTGTTTATTAATTAACAACAATACACACATTTAAAATTTTCCAGATTGTAGCACAACTGCTGATTTCCAGTCCTGAGACACTTCAGTCACACAATTAAACAACACAAAATTAAAACTATACACATTCAATACTTTAAGTGCAGAATCGGAAATGCTTAAAGGGGCTGCTTTGTTTTTATAAAGAGCTGTAAGTCTGTTTGAAGGCTGCTCCAAGACTCTGATGAACTGACCAAGCATTCTTCTTCTGTTTGGGATCTCCACATCTCCTCTGGCGCACTGACCCCTCAATGGTTTGGGTTGAAGCCAATATCACGTTTATTTATATCTTTTTGTCTCTTACAGACAAAACATGCCATTGATTTAAGCACAAGTAAAGTAGACTGCATGTTTACGGTGAATCTGCTTGGACATCCCATCAGCATCAGCAGTGCTGAGGCAGGACATGAAGGAGTGTTCCGCTTAGGGAGGCAGACAGCACACACACACACACACACACACACACACGCACACACGCCTTGAGCACTCCTACTGTGGACTACGTGTGCGCGCGTCTCCCTGTCTCAGCGCGCGCGGTGTGGGGCTCCACGGGGAAAAGGGAGGGAGGCGGAAAACGTGCGAAAGGTTTCTCAGCGCATCCGCAGGAGCTCTCCAAGTCATCACTTCCCAGGATGCATCCCGCGAGACGCCACGCCGCCAGCCGCTCCCGCCACTCTCTACATTGATCTGAACGGGACGGGACCGTAAAGGACGCGCGCAGGGGATCGGCATCGGGATGAGGGAGTAGACGCAACAACAGGAGGAGCGCATGAATACATACACACAGTCTGCCCCGCTGTCAGCTTTACGCACGAGTGTCGGATGTTATTTTTGTCCCGGAGCGTCGCCCGCAGCCCTCGGCATGTGTGTGTGCCGCAGCGCGTCTGAGGACAGGACGGGACCAGTTTGAGGAGAGGACGCACACATCTGGGACAGTGGGACAGGTAGGACCATAGCGCGCTTTGGCTTTATTCTCATTGCTCTGTCTGTGTGGGACTGGACACAGCCACGTCCGAACTTTTCACCCATGATGATCACGCCCAACATGTGTGTACCTGTGAGTGCTGCTAAAAGGAGCGGCAGAGTAAATGTTATCCTTGCCACAAGTGAGGACAAAGGGACGTTTTTCCACTTCAACCATTATCGTTTTAAATTTAGAACTAATCCCTGTCTAATTCAGGGATGTGTCATATTTTCTGCAAGCATATGATTGTTAAAAAGATTCTATCATTATTAATAGCCCTGTTTTAGACATTGTATCTAAAAATAATACAGAATATATAGTAGTGTCGCCGTATTTCTAATTTTACAACTATAGACAACAAGCTCTGTCTGTTGTAATTGTCTGCAAATCTTCACAAATAAAAATGGCATACTTTAACTTTGCTATTTTCAAGATACAGCTTTGATTATAAATCCAGTATAATTTAAATGCAAAATAAATTAAGATTAAAAGATCCTTTATTCATCAATAAATACTATGAATATTTGTTAATTGTCTATGGAAGGTGAATTTGTTATAATCTTCTAAAATGTCGGAATGCATTTTCCACAATGTTTCTTATAGTTCCACAAAGCCACAATTGGCAAGTTTTGATCTCCATTAAATGTGAAGTTTACTGAAAATACCTATATCAAAACTCCCTTTCTAAGAAGTTGGGCTAGTTTGTGCTGATGTATATTGCCTTCTTTGACTTGAACGCTGTCTGTGTTGATCCTGATCCGATTCTCTGGTGGTTGTGTGGCTGTGATGGTGCCACTATAATCTGGGTGCATTCCAGATGAGTGCAGATGTTTGGTAATCCCAGCGCTCACCCCTCCTTCACTAATCTCACTGGATTTGTTGATTATGCTGACCATGACCACCCATGACTACAGGAAGTCTCTGTGGAAATATAGAGTGCTGGAGGGCATTAAGAGAGTCAAGGAAAGGAGCAGGACTCAAGCAATTCTCCAAAGGAACCACATGCCTGGAAGTTGTACATTATTGAGGTGAAATGGCATCAGCTTGCATTTGGTCTATAGATTTGGCTAATTAATCTTTCATTCATTGTGTAGGCTCATTGTCCTATATTCACTCTCAATTTTAAGTTCATGCATGTTTGAATACACTATTGTCACCATGTCAGAAAGATTAAATGACTCTTAAACCAGCTCTATCAGTTTTTTTGTCTCTCGTCAGCCTCTCTTCAGTCTGTTTCAGTGAGCACTTCTTCTTTACTGAGGCAGGTGTGGCAAATCCAGATGCTGATGAGACAGGATGAATACTGCAAAGGTGTTTTAGGGCTAATCACATTAAAGGGCCACTCTGAGATCTTTTAGTTTAGCCGTTTAAGTATCTGGTCTGACACCATTTGCCTCACACAGTGCAACACGTCTCCTTCACAAAGTTGGAAAGGGTTGTTGATTGTGGCCTGTGTAATGTTGACAGAAACTGGAGGACACTGCCATATAAAGCAATCCAGAGCATTCCAAACCTGACGTGTGCGGTGAGTACGCCATGCAACCATGTAACCACGAGTGGCACTGAGGTCAGACCTGATACTGGCTGGTGGTCAGTTTAAGTCACACCTGTGCAGTATTCACTATTCTAACTTATGACTAATTAGCATCTTGATATTCCACACCATGTGAAGCAGGATGGATTGTTTCTGCAGAGTGCAAAGTGCTCATGGAAACAGATTGAGGGCGATTTGTGAAAATAAATATCTAATAAAGATCACTCTACTAAGCAGATACATACTGTTATTTATTAATGATGAACCCATGAAAGATAGAAGCAAAAACAATATTTATATGGATATATTTGTTCAGTATATCAATTATGGATACAATTCAATTTGCAGTGTCATTTGTAGTTATTTGATTTGGATACCAGCTAGGGCTGGGCGATATGGCAAAAAAAAAAAAAATCCGATTTTTTCACACCAAATCCGATTTTCGATTTTAAATCGATTTATTTTTTTCTATTTAAAAACAAACTACAACTGACAAAGAAATAGATTTTCCTTTATGCAGTTTAATCTAAATCCCCATGGAGCATAAGTGTAACAGGAATTAAGCCTTAAAGCCAAAAGCCTCCTCGGGTTTTCATGCTTGTTCTTTCAACTGTGCCTGAGTAACTGTGCTGTAGTACAACGCTCAGTCCAGCTGGTGGCGCTAATACTAACTTCAGTGACTCCCGCATTGTCCGAGCTTCCTGTTTACATTCTGATGCTGTAGCTAGCAGCTACTGTAGCAGCTACTGTAGCTAGCAGCTACTGTAGCAGCTACTGTAGCTAACAGACAGCGGGGAACACGTTGTTTGTATCAGAGCAATGAGAGCAATGTGTGAGACGTGTCTTTCCCCAAAGTGCAGCGGCTCAGTGGGACACGAGTGTGTGCGCGCCACGGACACGGGAGTGCGCTTTGGAATAACGAGCGTGAGAGAGCGTGAAAGATGTGGCGTACGAACATGGCGTACGAACATGGCGTACGAACATAGCGACCGGGGCTTGCGTGCGTGTGTGTGTGTGTTCTGGCGATTTAATAAAGTCTGATTCTTGAACGTTTGAAGTGTTATTGCAACAGCACCAACTGTGAGAGCGAGCATCAGGCCAGAGGGAGACTGTTAGCATTAGGTTAGCTTCAAAATGACTGCTCAACACCATAGACCCGCGGTTAGCGCGTTAGCGCTGTAGTTCTGCGCTGGAGAAAATAAAAATCGAATTTTTAAAAAAAGAAATCGCCCTAAACGTAAAACTCGAATTAATGATTAAAATCGATTAATCGCCCAGCCCTAATACCAGCCTTTTTTGTCAATCTCAACAAGTTTCCTGTTGCTGTAACTATAGATCATTCCTTGGATTAATGTTTACTCTCAGAATGTACAGAGAAAAAGCTTAAGTGAAGCCGCTTGACATTTCTATAGTTAAAATTTTGAGTTATTTCATCAATAATTTGGGACATTTCACCATATTTTATACCGTATGTGTTTAATTACAGCTCTTTTTCAGCCCTAATATCACACAATTAAGCACATGTGTTGTAGTCCATATAAGAGCAGTTACATTTTGTGTTTTGTGTTGTTCTTGGTGTTATTTTGGAGATCTGGTGTTTGTTTAGTCTTTTTTTGAAAGGGACATCGCACAAAAACATTAAGCTTCAGTTGTTTTACTCCCTGCCTTGTTCCTCTGTCTGCCCCGCCCTAATGTATTCCACTTGAGTGTATCCTGCTCTCCTCCCCATGTGTTGCTGGTCCATTCTTGTTCTGATTCTTGTTTGTTTTTACCTTTGACTTTTATTCATATTCCACCGCTATAGTCTTGTAGGTATTATTTTGCATTCCCGCGTTTTAGGACCACTTTCGTTTTTCACCTTGTAACAAAAATAGTTGTTGATTATTGGGAACAATGGGCCTCATTCACGAATAACTACGTAAGAAACTACTCAACTTTCTTCTCAAGTTGTCCTTAAGTAGATTTCTAGGAAGTCCCCACGTGGGATTCATCAACGCACTCGTAAGCCGCTGAATTGTTCGCAGCTGTTCTCTCAGATTGATGAATCCCATTTCCTCGTAAGTACAGCGCGCGTGCCAGGTGCTTCATTAGCATAGGTACTTAGCATAAGTAACCGCCCATTAATGCCCATATAAGGGACTGCAGGGCCGTGTGCAGACGCCAGAGGAAACAGCAACAGGCCTAAAGCAGGCTTTTGCCAGACTGAGAATAAAGTTATAAAATGTTGACTTAAAAGTCGAAATATTATGATAATAAAGTCGAACTAGCAAAATTATGAGATTAATCTCAAAATGTTATGAGCTTAATTTAAAAATATATTATGTATTATTTTAAAGATGAATCTCAAAATGTTTTGAGATTAATCTCAAAATATTTTGGACCCTGGGAGGAGATCCAGCGCGGACCAGCGCTGAGACCAATGCAGACCCGAGGAGAGACTGGAGTGACCAGCACACAGAAACCAGCGCGGACAGGAGAGACCGCATAGACTGTAGTGACCTGACTGGAGAGACCGGTGCGCAGAGACCAGCGCGGACCGAAGAGAGACCGCATAGACCAGACTTGAGAGACCAGCGCGGACCCGTGTGGATCCAGGAGCGTGCAGCACGGACCCGTATGGAGAGACCAGTGCAGACCCGTATATGGGAGAGACCAGCGCAGAGACTCAGCGCGGACACAGTAACCTCCTGCAGCAGCAGTATATATGCCGTTGTTCTGTGGCCCGTGGATAAAGAAATGCCCCCTATAAATAGGAAGGGGTCACTAATACACGGCAAGATTTCCAATGTATTTGATAAAGCGTTGGCACATTTCATTTCAAAATGAATTAAAAAGTAGGCCAGATCTGCAGTGAAAAAGGCGGTATATAAATAAAGATTACTAATAAAGATTACTACAAATAAATAAATACATACATCGATATGACGGACATATCACTGGAATGTTGTATTTTTATTCAACTTCACCAAAGAGGACAACCCCGGCGTGTGAACATGTCGGCACTGAATGCGTACGAGTGCTCCTGAGGACTCGTAGGATTTGTACTTGCCCAAGACAAATTCTGGTTACGAGAAATATTCGTGAATGCCACTTTCTTCGTAAAAACCGCGTAAGTAGGATTTACGTACAAATCTGTTCCTAAGAACCGTTCGTGAATGAGGCCCAATGTGATTAGTTGCAATTCATTCTTACTCCACTAAACTGCAACCCCCCACTTTGGGAACCATTACCCATTATCACCTTAACTGAGAAAGTTTCACCACATGGCAGTCATTATACTTGTTATGTAAAACTGTAGATGTAAAACTAAACCACCAGTTGAAATAAATTATTCTTGCTATTATAGTGAAGCTTTTCTAATGAACCGTCAATCACCTGCTTGCCTAAATTACATAGTTATGTTTCACAGTATATTACTAGTTTCATATATGACAGGGTTTTTTTTT